TAAGGCCATTCATATCAAAAACTTTATCTCTCCTCCTTACTCCAACCATCTTCACTCGTGCTTTTTTTAGTATGTCTGGGTTTTCGGTAACGCAAAGGCGTATCAAATAACTGGATAGCACTTGCTGTACCTAACACCAAGTAGGGCCATCTTTTAAAGTTAAAAACAACTCATAAAAACATAACCTGCATTCTCCTTATTTACAAAGCACCTAGCCATATGCCAACACCATCGATTATTTTTTCAGTATGTTTTTCAAAAACAGTGCCCAAGTGCCACAAATTCTTTGCCTTTAAACGTTTAGAACATGAATCTAAAGCAAATAGAAGCATCTATTTGGAGGTAGTGAGATACAGTGAACACGACGGCCACTTGATAGATTCTAGGTGCATGGAAACCGCTTTCGGTGGCGTGATCATGTTTTCCGGGCACGCGCGTGCGCTTTTGAAGCATGGTATTCTGGTATAGGTGCAAAGAATTTTGTGCAAGGTGGTGTTCCGGACAGATTTTTTTAAACCTCTACCATTCCGGCCCCTGCGCGCGACCAGATGTGGTTAGTTCAGCCCGCAATCTGAGGGGGATTTTCTGGCCACTACGATCGACGAATAGGATGTGCCCTTAAACGATTGAGCAATGCACTACTTGATTTGACTAGCAGAGCGTCACTACAGTTACAGTGGCATTGTGTTCACGTTTCCTTCTATGAAAAAAAACCTATACTTTGCCCTCTGACAGCAATAGCAGGTCATAATTGACATGAGTAGCTAGACGGTTTCTTCTCTGCATGGGCAGTCCCAACCGACATTTGTCACTTTCGCCAAAGGTGTTAGCAATATTCAGTGCACAGGTATGGCAGACTGGTTTTTGCTTTTCTGTCTTTAGGATAAACGCCTTGGTATGAAGGCTCTTTAAAGCGAAGGCTACGTCATGAATTCGAAGTGATTAGTACTTCCTTTGGAACAACTCGGCATTTTTTATTAGTTATGTTTTTAAAAGTAACATAGGAGTATAACTAAGCCTGGCATTCCTAACTTCATTGCATAGAGACCATTTCCTTTTTATTTCATGTTTTATCAAAATATTCGGTGACATCTTGGTAACATCGTATATTGGTTTTAGAAAGGTGCCATTGCAGGCGACGTATATTGCATTACTCACTCAACATATTTTCCTCGAACATTTACGTGTTATTCCCACTGCCGTTCAGCTACCACAGATCCAGAAATTATCGTACGATAGGAAACCCCACAAACTTTTATTCCTTGATTTCTCGAAGTTCATTCTGTGAATGTTATGGCTTGCTTTGCCCTAAACAAGGCATGCGCTTGGCGTAGCTCATAGGACATTGTGCTCTTGTCATTTCTGTTTCTAGTCTCTTTGAAGGACTCCCGATTATGATTTTCTAATTCTTCGTTATTTGTAAAGTTCGTTGCGGCGAATTTTACCCCAACAGAAGCCCTGGTGAGAGCAGTCACTTTCTGTCAACAATTTTTGTGAAACGTAATCTCTCCGACTAAAATCGCCTGTCGCTCCATAAAAGTCACTCTCTTACGCTCAGTCTGCCGACTTATCTCCTTTTCAATGTTGTCATTTGAAGAGTGGGTGGCATCAATTAATGACCCAACGGTGATAAGCAGCGAATCTGAATTGAGTTTATCAGGTATAACCCGAAGATGCCTTGCACAAACATAGCGTGTTGCTTCTAATGATTATTGGTATAATAAATGCATTCAGGTAATTAGTCAGTTAATGTATTAGTCACTGTGTAAAGAAAAAAAGCTTTGTGCAAAAGTCGTTGAATTCATATTTTAGAGGAAATCAACTTTTGTATAATTCTTTTTCGCAGTCACGGTATGGGGCAAAGAGTAAGTCAAAGCTCCACACGCTCGTCTCTAGCCTAAGAGTTTTTTTTTTTTCCTTCGGCTGTCTTTTGTATCATGTCATGATAACACTGGGTTTTTCACCTGTTCGTTTACCACCTCCAGCTTCATAATTAAATGCGCGAAAAATTAATGAAACAAAGCGAGCTTCACCGTCTGTATTTGAGAAAAGGAAACCTAATTAAAACAGCTTTCGCATTTTGCGTTCATGAGACTCCATCGCAAGAGTAGGGAGCTGAATCCGCCGCATTGGGCGCATACCAGTAGCAAAATGACATTGACGTGCCAAAAGACAATGGCGATGTGAGACGCAAGACATAGGAGTAATTACATTGCAGCCGACAGATTTGCAGCAAAACAAGAAAACTTGCTGTGTTTCCACAATGTACACATAATATTGTCCCCTCGTTGCGTCCACTTCAAAGATTGCACAACTTCGTGGCGGGATATAGAGCCCATTGTATTTTTTTCCAAACATCAACTTCATTGATTCATTGATTTGTGGGGTTTAACGTCCCAGAACCACCATTTCATTATGAGAAACGTCGTAGTGGAGGGCTCCGGAAATTTCGACCACCTGGGGTTCTTTAACGTGCACCCAAATTTCATCACACGGGCCTACGGCATTTTCACCTCAATAGAAAATGCAGCCGCCGCTGCCGGGGTTTGATCACGAGAACTGCGGGTCAGCAGCCGATTACCTTAACCACTAGGCCACCGTGGCGGGGAAGTATCAACTGCATGAGCGGGTTATTAGTTATATAAAGACATTGAGGTCCTGATAACCTCGAGAGTAATGAGATAGTTATTTTCGCGCGAAAAAAAGATCAAGTAGATATAATGTTTTGAGAAGTAATAAAACATTCACCACGTGTTATGCCAGTAGCCTTGAGGTTAAGTAAAGTTGATCAGAGCAAATTATTGCTTAGGCTTCTCAATTCCGTTGCCGTATTTTTAAATGATCAAACACGCTGCAGCCTTATCTTCTGCATCTGTATTCATGCTACCGTACTGCTGCGAATTCTTTTTGCTTTATTCACCTAGTGATATATATGTCCGATATTACGGCGTCCTTGGGCCTTTCGTGTGCCGTTTCTTTCGACTACATTAAGTTCGCTGCCTGAAGAAGTCTTAGACGAAGCCCCTTACCATGCCATATAAGATAGAATCAACCAAAACAAACGGGTTGAATATTAAAAAAGGGAAAACCTCAACGCTATCAGTCAGCTGCACCTGAAGTAAAAAAATAAATATTAAAACGAAGCTGCCTCTCTGTGGACTGAGGAAAAAGAAAGAAAATTAAACTAGTTTCAGTATTAATGTCAGCGCTTGATGGTGACCTAGATATGGCGCACGCTTCGCTCGCTGTCGGGAACCTCCACGCAAACATTAGTGGCGCATCGAGTGGCGATTCTAAGTGCGTACAAATCCCTGGAATATGGGTGCAGCATAGCCGAACCGTCTCTTCTTTCCTTCCTGCTTTACCACAGAATAATGGCAGAACGGCGCTGTCTGATTGGAGGCTATACGTTTTCCAGCCACGCGTCACTTTGTAGAATTCAAGATTTGTCTGCCAGTGACCCGGATTTTGTAGCATTGTCGTGATGTGAGCAACACAGAAGGGAAGGCCAGTACACGCTTTAGCGGTAATGTTAATACGGGCAAGCACTGCGGCTAAGCATTATAAAAATATATTGGAACATCTTTATAAAATACACAGCACACTTACACTTTCGTATGTGTTATTAATATAAAATATTACTAAGTATTACTTCATTTTATAGTGTAGTGTTATTTCTATGTCGAAGAGTGCCAACATTTTTGTGACACCCCTTTATTACAGCGTGCGGTTGTGAAAAAGGTGTTATAATTAAGAAGCCTATTTTATGTTACGATGCCGCCAGTACAAATCACAATTCAATGAAAACGACAGCACTTACAAAACAAGAAATTACTCAGCTCATCATAAGAACTTTGCATAAAAACCAGATCAAAAAACCATGAGTGCTTAAAGTTCGCAATGCCCATCACGTTTAGTATCTCACGATTGCAATTCTCTGTTGCCTGTAGTTTCAGAAGAGTAAGTAAAAAACAAAGCCACGTGGTTGAGTAAAAGTCAACATAAATGGAACGCCCAGCTTCGCTCTTCACGAAAATCGTGTTACCGGGTTTTCTGATCATGCTTTCGGGTCAGTAAGCCGCATTCAAGTATGCGCCATTCAGTTCTGAGGTTTCGGTAAGGCTTCTCGTCTACTGAAAATGATGTTGTTTTGGAAAATAATCGATCGGACATGATTTTAACGAAGGCTTACCAAACTAGGTTTACCACCGGGCTCTTTTATTGGGCGTAGTTTTATGATATTGAACGTCCGGTGTATTGAAATCAGAGGCAAGTGGTGTTTCAAGGTAGATTGTGTTATATTTTTTGCCGCGTGCCTTGAGGCAGAACAACCATATAAATGCAACTGCATTGGTAACTCGGCACGAATGTGAACAAGCCCCAATCGGAGCAGCGAAGAATGATCCCTCTGCCCACAAAACTAGCTGCTTTACATATTGATCGCTTTGCTTCTATCAGCAGCAGGTTATTTCCAAACATGTCAAATGTCAAGACGAACTGCTGTATGGAATTGCAAGAAAGGAGAGTGATACCCTCAAGAATTTTTCTGTTTTTTTTTTCTGTAGAGAGACTATACTCGCCAGTCAAATGCATCGTCAGACTTGTTGTGCCGGAGTGTAACATAGCAGAAAGCCTTGGTCTAGATGTTTCCCAGCATAGATCCTAACAAAGAACAGTGGAACTGTATTCACCGCATGGTGTGTACTGAGCTACAGATTGAGCAAGCAAGCTGCTTGACTTCTTGGTGGGTGTTCTCTGACAGAATGCTACTAATCCTCTTACCGAGTAGTTTTCATAGAAAAATCAAATTCAGCGAGGAATGGGAAGAACGTGCATGCATAGGTAACCGGCTTCAAGAAGGTTTCTTGGAAATGCTCGGAAGTTCTTTCCTTTTAGGAATCTCTGTGGAAATCTAGAAACAATTAACGCGCACACATCGTCGCACGGCCCCCAGCGCGATAGCAGCACCGTCCCAGTGACCCTTCTCATTTCGCACATACCTTTTTTTCTGCTGTGGGCACTCAAATGGAAGCAGTCGAAGCAAAAGTGACTTGTGTGTCGCAAGACGCTTTCTATATGTCCTCCAGCAAATCCGCGCGCTTCTTTATAGTCCATCCAGCCGCCATCTGGCGGGAACCTTACGCCGACCACCACCGTATTGCCGTTACGAGTCAAACCAGAAATTCAAGAGGAAAGCAAGAGTCAATCGAAAGCGGTGATTTGAGCTTGCTTGGCAAGAGAGCCCACTGTGTGGAGAGGGCAGTGGAAGGGCGCGTTGACATTGACGGCGTTCTTTGCCTCGCATCATCTCGCAGATTGTTAAAATGAGAGGGCAACAGTGTCGAAGAACACGCAGCCGTGTATGCTCGTGTGCGCGTCGAATACAAGCGTGCCTAGAGACAACACCAAGACCGAGCCGCTACGGGTGGTCAGGAATAACAAACAGGTGAATACAAAAAAGATATGCGTAAGAACCAAGCCGTCGGGCGGCCTTCCCGGCTGGCTGCTGCGACGAGGTGACGTAATGATTCAAATCTAGTCATTCTTGATGTTCTTCACAGTTCCTCTTTATTCACGCTATGCAAATGAAAACCGCGCACAGGGGGAGTTCTCATCAGCCCTGGCGGTCGGGTTTAGCCGGACGGTGCCTTTGGCGTCAACTGAACAGTAACGCTTGCTGAGCCGTAATTTCGAAGCGGGACGCACTTTTTTTACGGCAAATAACTCTTATACGAGCTTCAAAATCAAAAACAAAAGAATATCAGCTCGAGTGGGCGTGGCCTATTTTTGAAAAGAGTTTGGTGAACCCAACGGCTAGGCAGCAAAACCATTCTCACTGATTACGTCACAAATGCCAGTCTTCGTTCCCAATTATGTGTAATTTACCGAGAGCCTGTTATTTACCGAGAGCGCAATATAACAAAACGCAAGAAAATTGTTACGTTTACGGTGAAATGATGCAACCATTTATCTGAAGGGACACTTTTGTGCCTTAAGCAGCTCAACTGGCTTTCTTTAGAGAATGTGGTCGTCGTTGCATCGAACATTATCTATAGTTCTCCGTCCTTGTACAATGGCGTATTTTTCTACTAATGAAAACTTTCTTTTTCCTTATTAAATTTATTTTCTCTCCGAAAAATCTGTCCACCGCTGTCGGTTTTTATGCTTGAGACCTGTTTTTTAATCTCTACCACGCAACACATACTTTTGTATTGGAAATTTTTTGACTCGCCTGCACCACTGCACAATTTTAATTTTATTTGGTGAGTAGAGCAGTAGTTATGGTCACATTTTAGTTAAGGCAAAATGCTGTGCACTATGCGTTGTTAGGTCATGTTAAACAACACCCCATGAGAAACTTTCTTAAGAATAATAATAATACGTTTATTTCATCATCATTGTGTACATGATGACAGGGGCCCGCAGTAAAAGCTGCAAAATCCGAGGATCGTACAGCTTGACTTAGCTGCTGACCCCTAACTTGGCGAACAGCAAGGATTCACCAAATGTGCATAATATAACACAACCAAATGTGCATAATATAACAGAAAAAGAAAAATGAAAGACACAATACAAGGAAGTACACTTTTAAGGCACAGAAATCTTAGGTTGTTTATTACAGCGTCCCTTAAATCATTATCGTCCCTCTTGGTCGAAAACTAGAGGTGTTATTCGGAGATTTCAACGGTCAAAACTATACTATAAAAACTACGCATCTCGTACGAGTGGTTTACGAACACATCTTGCTTGAAATAAGGAATTATATATATATATATATATATATATATATATATATATATATATATATATATATATATATTAACAGCTACATTTAAATTCATGAACTTGCCTGCATTTCTTACCCGTCGAAACAAGGGAGCGACCAGCATCCTCAAGCTTAGCCGCATGAAGCTTATAATCTGCTAAACTACCCAAGGAATGTGATCACTACCATGATTGTGGTATCCTTCAGTGCCAGCTTTTATTCTTATGAACCCTCGTGATGGGAACCGATCAGCTCTTCCACATCAAGTACGCTCCCGTAGAAAGCGTCAATAAAAATGCGAACTATATTATTGTAAGGCCAATACTACAGGGGGTCTCAGCTAAGCATGAGCAAGGTTCTAAATCAAACCATGACCGCTAGGAATATCGTACCTGTAGTATATTTGTGGTCGTCGTGTGCACTACAACTAGCATTTTCTTTCAACCCCAAGTGCTCATGAAATATTTGTTCAATGTGAACTTTTTGAAGTATTTGGCTGGGCTAGTTGGTTTTGGATACTTATATAAACACACAAAAAACATGTCCGTGGACAGGAAGCAGACAGTACAAGCGCTGAGTTTCAACTGAAAATTTGTTCACTAGAAAGCTTTTATAAACAACCAAGCTAGCACTTTAAAACAAAACAGCAAAAAAGAAGATAGAGAATACCAAAGTAAAAAAGAAAACAACTAAGAACATCAACAATCACAGTGGCCTGTTCGGCGGACCCTCGCATCCCAAGAAGCACTGCTCTCTGTCTGACAGTGCAACTGAAGGCCTGGTTACGTCCACGCTCCTTTCACGCGTCATCTGGGCAGCCTTACAAATTATGCGCATGAACTGTTCGTTACTGTTATCCAGCACTGTGGTCCTTCCAAACTGCGGAGGGCGTCCACACGTGCTAACATGTAGCACCAGGAAGCCAATTTTTTCAATATGAACGTTATCGACGTGTACCCGTAAGCATTCGTTTGCGCACTGCCCGTCTAGCCTACGTAACACGCACCGTAAGACAACGAGATCCTGCACACCATGCTTTACACCAAGTCAAAAAACTGCGTCCTATGCTTGACCACCCACAATTTATCGTTCCTCCTTACAGGGCAGGAAGTCCTGTTTGCCTACGGCACAACATGCCAGGAGCACTCAGAACCATTTTCGCGTTGAGGCGTTGTCTTATTTGATAGTCTTTCTTGAAGACCTTCGACGCAAAACTTTTAGTTTGTCTGTTTGTCCGTTTTAACGATACCCCAAACGGCTTCAAACATTACCTTAAACGGCTGACCATATCCGCAGTGCCCACTAATACTGCTCAAGTTTTAGCGTTCCAACTTCCGGGATTGTCAATCGAAAAGCAATTATTGGGCGTATTTATGGCACCATAGCAACACGTCAAAATTTTGTATGTGTGACTTTATATTAGAAAAGCCAAAAATAAGTAATTCTAAGGACCATAGCGTTTATTACGCTGCGCCGATAATGCAACGCTTGAACGAAAAGGAAAGTGTTTTAAACGCTTTGCTAAGACGACACGGATGCAGCACCTACTCGTCACCTTGCGTTCTGCACCTTATCGCCTCCAAGACAGGCGCGCACGCCACGGGCTTCGTTTTCCAAGATAACTGCAAGACAGCGGTCGTGCCTCACGTGTGACGTGACTTGATGCACTCGTTCGCCTCCGCTGCACGCTGGAGCCACTCTGACGCAGCATCTCCAGAATACCAATCACAGATTTTCTTGCGCAGAACATCAAATAAACGTTTTTGTTCACCATCTCCTGGCGCAAGACTATCGTCTTTCAACATTTGGAGTGTAACATGCAGATACGGGGCTTTTTTTAGGTGATAAGACACAGAGTGCATATAAAGTTTTACCATATATGACCGCCACCCTGTCCCACTTTTTTGTAGTGGTATACTCTGTGTGTCGCTGTCACTGCCCTTAAGGCCCAAGCACATGCACGATATTTTCTAGCTAGAGAAAAAAACGACCGCGACGAGTGATCGGGTCTGCTGTCGTAGAGGCCCATTTGTAGCCGTCACCTGTCACGTCACGTGTCTCCGAAAAACTAAAAAAATTACAGCATGTCCACGGTGGGAATGATGATGAGTGGGGTGAAGCGTCGGTCAGTCCGCTTGTGCTTCCGTCTGTCCGTTCATTCTTGCTTCCTTCCGTGCGCCCACCTGTGCATCCGTCCATGCGACCATCCATGCATCCGCCCATTCGTGCGTTCGTACATCCGTACATCCCTCCATCTGTGCGTCCGTCTGCGCGTCCGTCCGTCTGTCTGTCCATGCGCCTGTATGTCCTTCCGCCCGTCTGTCCATGCGTCTGTCTGTCTGTCCATCCATGCATCCGTTCGTTCATCTAGTGAACACTTCAAATACTGCCGTCTCGCATATTTTCATCATATATTCATCATATACAAGTGCCGCCATCTAGCCGACAGTCTGAGGACTACATGAAATGTGGCCACAATGACGACATGGAACGTACGATTCACGGGGTCAGTCAGGCTTCCGGGGACATTTATATTTTTAGGGGTCCGTAAACTAAGGTGACGATTTCAGGCAACATGGCTGCACCCCTTGTCCTCGCCTCGGTTTCAATTTGCTCTCAACGCTTGTTATTCACGCGTACTTCAAGTAACCTAAGATGTCGACCATGTCTTTACGATCTCACGCGCAAATTGAGACAGCCGCCATATTATTTCGTAAATCTTGTTATCGTAGTTTAGTATTGATGTTTAAGATGGTAGGTTGCTACAATTATGGTAGCTTGCTTCAATGTGAAACCGCCTCGCAAAGTGCGTCGCAGCGGTCATAGCGTAGCTACCTTGTCGCAGTTGAACCGAAAATTGCGAAAGAAGGTGGTCGTGAAACACTTTTATTGCTTCTTTATGCCACAAAAGACTAAATTTGGCATGTTGTCATCACCTACTAAAACTTCTTTTTGTAATTTATAGGCATGCACGTGATAGTTTTCAATCTAGCAAGAATGGCACTTTGTCGCCAACGTGTGCTTGCAACCGTCGCGACATGACAGCGCGATAGAGTGATTTTGTCGCTATCGCTCGAGAATAGCGAACATCTGATCGGGCCTTTACGTTTTCTTTTTTTGTGCACTGCCTCCGCCACAGGAATGTGCAAAGGTCACGGGTACCCTTTTTTTTCTGCTCGCTTTGATTGTGCTATAAAATGAATTTCCGAGACTTGTTGGCAGGATCTCTCTAAAGCATTCAGCTCAGGGTGAGTTCTTTATTTGGTATACAGCTTCAGTCATTCATTGTACTGGGCCTCACGAAAATTAATGGACGCTCATCGGAAGACGATGCTGGCACATTCATCTTCGAGCGTGAAGCTTACAAGGCGGC